TTGACGTCACTCTCCAGGATGTCATAGGTCACGTGAAAGTGAGTGGGCGTGTCCTTAAGCTGTTGCCATGACAGGCACGGGACAATGTCAGATGGTAGGCACGGTGGGTGTGGCCAACGTGGAGAAATAAGACAATCCAGTAAGGCTACGATGGTTTTCTGTAAACAAAGAAACTCAAAATAAACAAAATTAACTCTAGGGTTGGTGATTTGGGGACTTTTTTAAAAAAAAAATGTACATGCATAAAATGCCACTAAGAACTATCTCCACCTGCATTTTAAACTCTTCTGCCAGTTTCATCAAGCTTATTGAAGCTGTTCTTTCCTGTTTGGCTCTGAACAAGTTTCCAACTCTGAAGAAATAAAGGGACTTTTTATCTTCGTTGGAGACACACCAAACAAGGAATACAATGCAACATTGTTTTCATATTGCGTAATTAAACAGTTGGATATGAAAATGTCTATTTGCCTCAGTCAGGACAAACTTTATAGCAACAGAAAAGCAACTTAAACGGGATAGACGTAATTCAGAGACAAAATAAATCATTCAACACGATCTTTCACCTGGGCTTTGAAATTTTGCGCCATGGTAAAATTAAATTAGCAAAGGAGCTTAAGTCAGTGCCGATAGTTTCTCCGCTAACATCATCTTTTCATAACATTTAAGAAACAGAAAACAGCGTGCGTGTTTACTTAGCCAGTTGTTAACTTAATAGAGAGTTTTGAAGAACTCTTAATTTTACGGAGCAGAGGTACCAACCTTCTATGATCCATTCTCCTTATAAGGAAAGCAGCCACGTCATCTTGACCATGTCTTATTGCAGTTTCAACCGGAAGTTCGCCCTGACCGTTTGTACCAAGAAGCATGCTGGGATACATCTCAGCCAGCATTCTTGCCAGCGAGACGTAATTCTTGGTTGCAGCTATGTGTAATGGGGAGTTCAGCTGAAAATCTTTCACCTCCTCTAAATTAACCCCTGAATCAAACAAGAGTTAAACGAATCTGCAAACCTACCATAACAAACTGATCTATTAGGCTTGAGTAAAATTCTACTAGTGTACTATTACAAATATTGCAATCTAATTGGCCCAGTTACTCTGATACTATCCATGCCTGTTAAATGAGACACATGCCAAGAAATTGACGGAACTGCATAGAAAATGAAGATATTGGAACGAGTCTTGAGGACTGAATATCTTATACCCGTAGTTTAAAGTGGTTGCGACGTTTAACTAAGTACATAACGTTTAAATTCTTCACAGAATTGATGCAGATTAATTAAAATTAAACCCTGATGTTAAGACAACTGACTTCCTTCTTAAAACAGGAAACTAGAAAGAATACCTAAATGTGAAACAAATTCTGGTTTCTAATCGCCCCAACTTTGAAACTAGCAGAAAACGGCTTCTCACCTGTGGTTCATAATTCCATTCCTCCAGTAAATAAAGTGTAGTATTTTCTTTAGTATAACACAAATNCAAACTCATTTTAGGCCACAAGAATAATGACTAATACTAGCTAATACCGGCAAATTTCACCCTGTTTCACTTATAGCCTAACTTGAGGCAGAATTACAGAAATTACACCTACAGTTTTTTAAAGTTTACCGACCGTTTTTTCCTATTAAGTGGTATATGCAGCCTGCTTTTCTGGTGTTAAAGGAAACCCTATTCACGTTCAAGTTCGTCAAAATATGTTTAAATACCAAGAACAGGAATTTTATTTCTTGGAAATTAGGACTTGCGCATGTACTCGTGATCTTACGTGAAGCACATTGTGGGTGGACAATTGGGTGTAAAAATGGACATCGGCGAATTGTTGCCTCAGAGGGAACCTAAGGAAATAATTGACTGTACAATATTGCAGGTACCTTGCACCTAAACTACCATGTTGCCCAGAAAAATATACCAACTTTGATAACACTGAAAACCTTCAAGCTAAAGAATGAGGATAATCAAGTAAGGCTGCGTTGCGGAAGCTGCACACGATGTACAAAACGTGTCATTTTACAATGGGACGGCGCCTAGCAAAATCGTAACTGGGACATTAATTACGATGAAACACTTTACCGCAGTTCTTGGCTGAAGTTTCCTGTCAAGGCACCGACTTGTTCTTGAACATGCCATATTTCATCAGGCATGGGTGATGGCTGGTCTGGATTTTTTCGGTACTCGTCCGTCATTTCTTAAAAGTAAAGTTAACATTGCCTGAATGTTCCTGCTTGGTCATTACACCTTCGATTAATTGGGAAAAATACAGACTAGCTGATATGTCTTCCTGCAGTAATACTACTGTTCAATTCCTCTACATCGACAACGGCCACCGGAAGTTTCAAGAAAATTATTTGAGTCAAGGAAACGCTTGCAGAAACGCTTTCCGACAAGGAAACGCTTGCAGCCGTTGTAGAGAGATGGCAGCTCGCGAAATGGCCACAATTTGTATTTCACTTGAAATATTTTTAACTCGGCATTTGCTCTAAGAGCACAAACTGCTCTTAGAGAGAGCTTATGCAACAATCATATTGAACTATCTTATTAAATTATTAAGTTTTTTTTTTTCGCTACCTTCCACTTCTTCTCTGGTTTTCAATTCTCCAGGAACGTAATGCTTCTTGCGAAGATTCTAAAATGAAATAATTGTCAATAAAGGCGGCCTTTAGAGTCGAACGCTTTCCTGATTGGTTTGCGAGAGTCTCGACATTGTTTCCACCAATCACAGGGCTTACCTCCAATACCTTTTTTTAAAGTTGCACAGCTAGAAAGCTAAGACGGATATTTTCTTGTTCCTCAATCCTTTAAAAGGTCATTTCTGAGTTACCTTGTGCCTCTGTTTCAAAACGAGTCTTCGTGCAAAACCTTTCATACGAAAATGAGTTTCATGTTCATGAAAATGAACCTGTAGGCGGAACAAATTTTCATTTGAATGGTTTCCCACAAAGACCCGTCTTCACGCAGAGACACAAGGTAATTCGGAGATGACCTGTTAAAGGATTGAGGAACAAGAAAACATAATTTCCACCAATATCCGTGTTAGCTACGTGTATCTAGTTGGGCAACTTAAGTGTTGAAATATACTCGCACTGCGGGTAGTATTCTTCACATGGTAAGGACAATTTCGATATCGTTTTTACAAGGTGCTGAAACTTACAACTCCCACAAACAGTGAATAGAAACCATAATTTGTACTTGGTGTTTGTTGGAAATACTATCATGTTTTCATGCTATTATGTTATTTTTCCGTTACGTCTTTACTTGCAAATCATCAGCAATTATACTCACCCAGAATTGAAACCTGCTCTGCCACTCGATGGTCGCCACGGCCTGCATTCTTAGCGCAGTGAAAGAATGCAGTGACTCTTCTTGGACCATCTCATAAGTCAGCGAGAGTTGAGCGATGAGGATGTTCAACAAAATAGTTGTTACGCACATCATGAATAAGACGATCAGCGATGCTCCTAACCATCTAGAAAGGATCAAACAGGGGAAATTCTGAGTAACGTGTTCTACCAACAAAAGAAAAATTGTTTACGAACAAACGACTGACTGAACGAGCGAGAGTATTTCTTCCCCAACTAACTACTATAACTCATTCTAGTTATGCTATCATTCGTTAAAAATAACGAAAA